CAAATCTGACATATATCAAGCATTCATTCATTTCAAAAACCTTGCTGAAAACCAATTGAATAAAAAGATAAAAACAGTCCAAACAGATTGGGTGGGGAGTTTAGGTCTTTATCAAAGTTTTTCCTTGACCATGGAATCCAACATAGACTATCTTGCTCACATACACCCCAACAAAATGGGATAGCGGAAAGAAAACACAGACATGTTGTGGAAATGGGACTTTCTTTGCTTGCAGAATCTTATTTACCTTTACATTTTTGGGATGATGCTTTTGTCACTTCATGTTATATCATAAATAGAGTTTCTACCAAAGGCCTTTCCTATAAAAGTCCACTTGAAGTTCTTTATGGACACAAGGCTAATCTTCTGATGCTGAAAACTTTTGGTTGTCTTTGCTATCCTTATGTTAGACCATATGATAAACATAAACTCCAGTTTAGGTTTGGCAAGGGTACATTCATAGGCTACATCCCATGTCACAAGGGTTACAAGATTATTTTATCCTCAGGCAAAGTGATCATCACAAGAGATGTGGTTTTTGATGAAGAGCATTTTCCTTTCAAACAGAAATTGAACACTTCAAAACAACCTACTCCACTTACTTACATATTTTCTAATGTGGCTCCTTGTGTTATGGATTTTTCTCACCTATATCACCAATCTCCAACTCTTCCCACATAACTTCCACATCAGACTTCTCATACACCATCCTCATCCACACATAATAGCCCAAATTCATCCATTCCAAGAACTGTGAAGATTCAAACTCTAATGTACCCTTGCATGTTGAGATGCCAAATATGGGAAATGATATTCATAATCACAATACTCATGTGCATAATTCTCATGCTACTAACCCTTCTTTGCATCCTATGATCACCAGATCAAAGAGAGCAATTTTCAAGCCTAAAATTTACAATGCCAGTTTGATGGAGACAGAACATGGAGATGCAAATGAGGCATTGACAGACAAGAACTGGAGAAAAGCAATGCAAAGTGAGTATGATGCCTTGTTGAAAAACCAAACATGGACACTTGTTCCTTGCCCTCAAGGATACAACATAATAAGTAAATGGGTTTACAAGCTGAAGAGGAATTCAGACAATTCTATTAATAAGTACAAAGTTAGGTTAGTAGCTCAAGACTACTCACAAACTTCTGGATTTGATTTTAAGGAAACCTTCAGTCCTGTTGTGAAACCTACCACCACAAGGATAATGTTGACTATTGCTGTGAATTTAGGATGGAAAATCAAGCAACTTGATGTGAGTAAATACCTTTCTTCATGGAGAATTGGAGGAAAATGTCTACATGAGGCAACCACTTGGCTTTGAAGTGCATTCTGAAGACAATAGACCTCTTGTTTGTAAACTAAAAAAGGCTATCTATGGTCTAAAGCAGGCATCAAGGGCATGGTTTACAAAGGTTACAGAAGTGTTGCAGAAACTAGGTACACCAATTCAGTTGCTTATCCTTCACTTTTCTTCAAGACAGATCAGGAGATTCAAGGTTCCTATTGATCTATGTTGATGACATTCTAGTTACTAGAAACTGCAATCAAGCCATTGCTCATGTCATTGAAAATCTTGGAAGGTCCTTTCCTGTTAAAGATCTTGGTGAGCTGAATCATTTTCTTGGGATTGAAGCTACTTATACCACTGATGGGATACATTTGTCTCAACAAAATTACATTCACAATTTGTTGAAAAGAGCAGGTATGGAGAAAGTGAAGGGTAGTGTAACTCCTATGATATCTTCATCAAAACTGTCTAAACACACTGAAGGATCTCCCTTTAATGCAACATTTTATAGAAGTGTTGTTGGTGGTTTACAATATTTAACCATACCAGGCCTGAGATAGCCTTCTCAGTCAACAAAGTAAGCCAATTTATGGCTTCACCTCTTTATGTTCATTGGAAGGCTGTCAAGAGAATCCTAAGATACCTCAGTGGTACCTCCTCTTTTGGTTTACACTTAACAAAGGTAAAGGATTTAAAGATAGTGGACTTCTTAGATTCTGACTGGGCTTGTGATCCAGATGACAGAAAATCAGTTACAGGGTCTTGTGTGCTCTTAGGAGAAAATCTTGTGGCTTGGTCATCTAAGAAGCAAAATGCAATCTCCAGATCCAGCACTTAAGCAGAATACAGAAGCCTTGCTCACACAGGTGCTGAAATTAGTTGGATACAATCTTTGCTTGGAGAAATTAGCATTCCACCACAACACAAACCAGTTGTCTGGGTGGACAACTTAGGTGCTATAGATCTAGCATTTAATCCCATTTTACATGCTCAAAAAAAGCATATAGAGCTTGATATTCATTTCATCAGGGATAAGATTAGCAAAGGACAACTTGATGTGCAACATGTTCCTTCCTCAGATCAATTGACTGACATATTTACAAAGCCATTGGCTCATCAATCCTTTGCTAGGCTGGGACATTCTCCTGGAGTTAAAGGTCTCACCTTGTTCGTCTTGAGGGGGCCTGTTAGCATACATAAAAAACTCGTACTTGCATGAACATTTATGGCACATTGTACCTGCATGCTTTCATGCAGCTTTTTCTCTATCTCTCTTGGACATGCGTAGGGCTAGGATTTATCTGCCTTTATTGTGTGGTTGAGATTATTTGAGATGTAGGGTTCACTTGCTATATAAAGCAAGACATTGTATGACATTTGCAATGATCGAAAATCAGAATACCACAGATGTTGCTTTTCCTGTTTCATTGGTGAGTACCATTTTCATGGTTTCTTGTTTCAACATGAAACTTAAGCTTTTCTTTCATATAAGTATTTAATATATCTATTTAAAATATGAACAATAAATAAAAATAAGTTTTAATTTTTTCGCTTGAAATATGTTTTTTAAAATAATTTTATTTAAATACTTTAATCATGTGGAATGACTAATCTCATGGAGATGAATTTGGCAATTCCCATTGAAATGGCCATTTATTTCAAAAAAAATATGTCAATCGTGAGACAACGAATGAATAAGGGAATTATCATTACATTCTCATGTCACTCCCTCATACCAATCATGCCATAAGTCTTTGACGTATTCTTCAATCGGTATACATATTTAAATAATAAAATATCTTACTCTAAAAAATGAGATAAACAAAAATATGACATTTTATAACATAAATATATTATTCATTAGAAAATTAACCGCCTAATATTAAGTTGTCGCATACCAGAACTTCTATTCATTCACATATATCATTGAACTTTTCCTTTTGCCTAACATAACCCCAATTTTTCAATATCGTGCAGAGAACTGTCCGGACGCTTTACATCACTTAAGATCTATTTATTGTGGGTCAAAGTGAAGTACTAAAATCCAAAGCTTTAGAACTTGGAAATGATTTTGGACAAATTATATACCCACCGCCAGATAAAGATCACAAAAAGCAATGTGCAAGCTTTAAAAACGTTTTTCGTGTGTGTTTTGGGCCCTTCTAGCATCATAAGTGGACCGCCCCTTCTTAATCACTTGCTTTGACAGCAAAATCTTTAAAGCAAACTTTATATTATGGAAACATGCTCATTCCCTTTTTTTAATCTGAGGCTGTCCATTCTGGAAAGAGACATTTGTGTGCGTGTGTTTTGTTTTCTTTTTATCTTTTCTTGTCTTTCAAGGAAGCATGTATTGAAAAAAAAAAAGAAAAAGAAAAAAAAAAGACATTCACATGATGACAAAAGTAAGTAATAGAACCAACCAAATGTTGATCTAGTTCATACGTAGGGTAAATGAACTAGCATGCGTGCACACACTTGGAAATGTATGATCATATGATTTAAAAAAAAAAATGGTTTGTAGCTTAAACTAATCCTAGTGTCTACCTGTCAACAGCATTAATAAAGTGACGATGATTTTCCAATCCTGCCCTCAATTTTGAGTCTTTTTAACCCGTTCTCAAACTAATAGCAGGTTTGGGTAATCAAGTTCATTGCAGGTCTTAAATTAAGACCGCTCTTATACTAGAGTGCAGTACATGGGAGGCGAATGACATTTTTAGATAGAGAGAGCCTACACTACATGTTGTCTAAATGAGATCACATCTTAAATCATTCGGTTATATAGGAACATACATATAGCTTATTGAAATTATAATGTGGAGTCATTTTTTCTATTAGTTGATGCCAACGATATGGAATAAGATTTTAATATACAAGTATATAAATTGAACTTGTGAAAGTTATATCAATATTTTATTTTTCGGGTTATAAATATGAACCATTTTAAACTCGCAATATGTTTTCGATCATTGAGATGTACACTAGATGATGCTGGCATTAACTATTTTTTTTTTTTTTTTTTA